TTCTGAATTCTTCTTCTGACATATTGCATTGTCACTTTCATTTAGTTTTTTTGGTGATTCCTCTTTTCTTCCCTTTGGGGGTTCTTCTGTCTCCCCATTTTTGCTCTCACTGAAGGATCAGGGGGCAAATCACTCAGGGCTTGTGATTGCAGTGGAGGTCCTGGTGGCGGGTCACATGGTCACAAGTGGCAGCTGCTCCTCTCGTGGTCATGGGATGAAGCCTGCTCCTCAGGCAGTCATGGGTGGTGGCTGCTCCTCGCGGGGTTACGGGCAGTGGCTGCTTGCTCCGTGTTTGTTCCCGGATGGTGGCTCTTTTCACATGGCTGCTGGCTTGGTGCGGTGCCCCGGGCTAAAGCATCTGGCTGGCAGGAGGGGAGCATGCTCCAGAACTCACAGTAGCCCTCAGCTGGGGAGGCTAAAGTCTGGGTGTTCGTGGGTTTGCAGCTGAGGCAACAGTTCCTTGGCTGGTGTGGCTGTAGGTTCCTGGGTGGTATCTGAGGGCACCCTGGGTGGAGGTGAGGCTAGGCTCCCAGTCACCACATCTCTCCCCCTCAAGATGGCTTAGCTTCTATGGCAGAGTTGGTGCTTCAGGAGAGATTACTGCACTAGCAGAGGCTGCCTGGCTAGTCGAGCCTGATCTGCCAGCCCTCAAAGGTCCTGCGAGATCTAGCTGTCCCTTCCTCAGACACACCCCCCCCACACCCACACACCCACACACCACATGTCCACACTCTTCCCTTTCGCACCCTCAGCCACTCACACTCTCCCCCTCACTGCCATCCTCCAGGCCACCATCTTGGAATCCCATAGCTAGTTATGATATATATATATTTTTAAAGGCTTTTATTATGTTGAGGTATGATCCCTCTATTCCCACTTTTCTTAGAGTTTTTATCAAGAAAGGGTGTTGGATTTTGTCAAATGTTTTTATGTTTTTTCTGCATCAATTGATATGCTCATGTGATTTTTGTGTCTCAGTTTTTTATGTGATATTGCTGGGGTCCAACCCCAGCAGGTCCAGGGGTCCCCAAAGGTGTGGACGGAGTCGGCGAAGAAGAAATGACATGGAGACAGCGTTCAGTTGATCAGAAGCCTTGCCAGGATCTCTAGCCAAGATTTCTAGGTTCTGTCTAGTTATGATATTGTTGACAACCATTATGGTTGATATTGAAATGATAAGCATTTTTTATGTTAATAAAAAGAAACAAAAACTTTAAGCAATTTGAGAAACAGGTTATATGGATAGTGATTGGTGGACTGAAGATTTAAACCTTCCTGGTATTTAAAAAATTTTTGTATTTTTATTGATTTCAGAAAGGAAGGGAGAAGGAGAGAGATAGAAATATCAATGATAAGAGAAGATCATTGATCGGCTGCTTCCTGCACACCCCCTACTGGGGATTGAGTCCACAACCTGGGCATGTGCCCTGACCGGGAATCGGACTGGCAGTCTTTTGATGCACAGGACCACACTCGACGAACTAAGCCACACTGGCCAGGGCATCTGCTATATATATCTTAATGTGGTTATGAACAGCAGTTGAGATAGTTGATGTATAATTGTAGAGCAAAGGAGTCTTGTCTGTCCTGTCATTCTTTAAGCAAAATTTTATTGAGTACACATCTTTTATACAAAAACTATGTTACCCGGGACATTTGTAACCACATAAATATAAATATTGCCCAATGAGGAGAATGTCACCTCTTCGCTGTTGCCCAAAAGCTTGTGAGGTTAAGCCATGACCAGAAATTACAGGGAGACAGATTTTGACTCAGTATATTGAAGAACTTTCTAATTATTAGGCTGATTAGCAGTTGCTTCATAATTATTTTGCATCATCTATAAGAGTATTTGTATGTAGGCGATAACTGAATAACCTCTTGATAGTTGTCCCTTCAATTATATTTTTATATTCAGTCCTCCATAAAAATTTTTAACAAACCTCAATTTATATTGCTGTTATTACCTTTGTCTCTATGCTTTAATATCCCAGAAGTTGCAAAGGCATAAAATATTTTTCCTCTGCCATGTATTTTAAGGCAGAGTTGAAAATAAATTAGTCAGATGTAGGAGGAACCATTTTGGAAATCATTTAGACTAAGTAGTTTACTCTAAAAATATTTTGTTATATAGTGAATATATAACATGAACTATATCTTTAGCAGTGTTCCTTCTTCATTCAGTGTATTTGTAGTGCTTTGGAGCCTGGGTTTGAAGTCAGAAGTCTTTTTTAATTTTTTCTCACTATTTAATGGCTATTTGACATTGGGCAAGTTTTTAAAATTAGATTATAAGGGATTCATCAGTGTGGAATCTAGAGAGGAGGAATAGTGTAAACAAAGTTAGGTAGGAATAGGATGCTAGGAGTGTTATTAGTCTTTCCTATAGTACTGAAAGTGTGATCTGCTGACAGCAGCACTGGCAGCATATTGAAGCTTATTAAAAATGCAGAATCTCAGACTTTCACCCTAGACTTCTTGAATCAGAATCACCGATTTAACAAACTGAAGTTAAGATCAGAGCATTCATTTAGGACAGCCTGTTGTCAATCTTGCCTGCTCATAAGAGCACTTGTAAAAAAAAAAAAAATACTAATGTGGCACCACCTAGCTTCAATTCTGTAGAACCACAGCAAGTGGGGTCCAGGCGTTGGTATTTTTTTTTTTTTTTGAAAGTTTCAGAAGTACTTCCTATATGCATAGAAACACTGAAGCTGCCCTTGCAGATAGCCTTTGGGGGAACACTAGATGAAGAGCTTTGGAATGAACAGTAATGTCTGATTTTTTTGTTCCAAGCTCTTTTGCTTGATAATGTAGTATGTATCCACAAATGTTCCTTGAATATGGGATATGTGGAGAGCTTTCCTTTCCATCTTTCCTTGTTTGAAATAAAAACTGTTCTCATGTCTGCCCTCCTTTGTTTGAATATTTCTTTCTTCCATTTAAAAGTAGGAGAAAAAGAAATCACAAGCATTTTGATTACTCTGGATTAGAAGATAAATAAACCTTTCCTGAAGAGAAGCATTCTGTTGTGGAGTAGTGAGGCATAAGTTTGCAGAGATTGGTGTTGGTCTAGGCCAGTGGTCGGCAAACTGCGGCTCGTGAGCCACATGCGGCTCTTTGACCCCTTGAGTGGAGCCGCAGTTTGCCGACCACTGGTCTAGGCTTAGGAGCTTGGATTCCGTGTGTGTGCCTGGTGATCCATACATTTTCCTGAGTAGGGAGGCACATGATTAAAGCACTATTGTAGGAAAATTTATTTTGAATCTTGATTTGGTGACTTAAAACAAGATTAGGATCACTGAGACTATTATTGAGGCTGTTTGAAATTGTAAGATTGTAATCCATTCTAGAATGGCTTCGGAGTTCTGAAACAGAAAGGAAGAGCTAGGGTACAGATGTTTTGAAGAAATGATAGTATTTGAATATGAAAGCATACCTAGGTGACTAGGAAAATGGCAGTGTTGGCAACATAAAGTAGATAACTTTTATATCATCTCTAGAGGATGCCAGCAAGTGTTAGATGTTTTTACTCGGGTTTTTAAAATCCTATTTGCATTGTGATACCTCATTGTACTAATTTTATGGATTAGGAAACCAATTCTTAAAGAAGGTTATCTACCTAGCTTGCCCAAATTCACAGACAACTGGTAACCTCTACTATGACTATGACTGACACTAAAGGCCATTTTCCTTTCAGATTCCAATACATACTACATCATTAATCATTTTTGTTGTAATTTTGGAATCGTTTTTACATGTTAGATTTTATAGTCAGTATCTTTACAACCTCTTGTCACATTATGTCTTATTATCTCAGCTACTATTAAATGAAACTATTCTCTGAAAGATACTTGCTCTCTCCTTTCTCTATCAGTGATATATCCTGTTTTCAACTCCTGCCCAACCTTTAACATCTAGCTCATACTTGCCTTCTATACCCATATGGACTTTTTCTTTCTTTTTTTCATGTGAACCTTTTCATTACTCCCAGTGACTAGTGATTTTTTTCTCTTCTGAACTTTTATATTCCTGTATTTGCTGTTATGTAATTACTTTGTAATAAATATTATTTGAATTATTCCTGGATATGAAATGCTCATCAGTGAGTACAATAACATTGATATTTTGAAATAATAGATATAATATAAAAATATATAGTAACTGGTATGGGTAAGAAAATTACTGCTTAATTTATATATGAAGAAAAACAAAAATTACTGTGAATTTAAAGGACCTATCCAAATTGAGACATCATTTCCTTTTTGGAAATTCTTGGCTCCAAAGAACATATGATTTAGTTTTTATTATCCTACTAGAGGCCGATGCATGAAATTCGTGCAAGAGTAGGCCTTTGCAGCTGTGGGTGGCTGCCTAGATCCCTCCCTCGCAGCCATGGCAGCTGTAGCCCTAGCTTACTCTGGAAGGATATCCAGAAGGACGTCTGGTCTAATTAGCATATTACACTTTTATTATTACAGATAGGTTTTATAGTAGTACAGCACAGTACAACATAAGCTAAATACTTAAGAACCTGAGTTTATTTCTCAGTTCCACTTCTTTCAAAGTGTGAGTTTGGGCAAATCACAACTTTTGATCCCTCATCTATAAAATAGGAATACTTTTCTGCCGAAACCGGTTTGGCTCAGTTGATAGAGCGTCGGCCTGCGGACTGAGAGGTCCCGGGTTCAATTCCGGTCAAGGGCATGCACCTGGGTTGCGAGCACATCCCCAGTGGGAATGTGCGGGAGGCAGCTGATCGATGTTTCTCTTTCATCGATGTTTCTAACTCTCTATCTCTCTCCCTTCCTCTCTGTAAAAAAAAAAATCAATAAAATATTTTTAAAAAAAGAAATCATATATGTAATCGCA